GTGTAAGGGGGAGGGCTGCCTCTCTTCTGCTCATTGGGAAGCTAACGATGTCCTTTCCAGATGATATAATATTCCAGACAGTTTTGCTTGTATGCAGTTACTGTCTGCCTGAATTATGGATATTTCGGTTTGGCTTTGCTGTACATATATTTGCTGTGAACTGTTTACTTGTGTAATGGAGCGAATACCCTTTAGAATCACGTACAGGCTTTCAGTTTAATACCTTTCTACTTGCATAATCATGGTATCGATTTGGCCATTGCAGGATCGGGGCCTTAGAGACTCTCTCTCAGCTTCTTTGAGTTATTATTGCTAATATGTCCTCTTGGTTTCACGTAGGTGTATCTCAGATTTGCCCTTTTGGGACAGCGGCTTTTGTAATTCCCCATAACAGACCGATGGAGTTTTATGTTGTAAAACAACTGCTCTCGGCTCTTGCCAGTTGCAGCCTAGACGAGATTTTTATGGTCAGTAAAGCCTGAAAATAGAATTTCATAATAGAAGACGCTGACACAACTGTAACTCTTTAACAGTGCAAACGGCTCCTCCATAATAAAAGGAAAGCAGCCAAAATCCCAGAGAGGCAAGAGCCGACGCTGGGGAGGAAAAGGTGGCCTTTTTGGTAGTCTCGGTCAGATATTTTCAAAGTATCACCAGAAGGAAGGAGCTCTGAGGCAGAAAGATTCCTATGAAACCTTCAGTGTTTCTCGGCTTGAGTGTAACTCTGCCACACAGGCCGGCATTTCCAAAGGTGCTTAGTTCCCACTGACTTCATCATGAGGGCTTGGAGCTCAGCACTTCTGAAGATCAGGCTCATCATAGCTGTTACTAAGGCCGCTATTTAGCAATTCAGAAAATATTTGCTGGGTTAAAAAGGTTTAAAATATTAATTTTTAATTAAATCTGACTAAAAATGCTGATTGGCAATGGAAAGACAGAAACCATTGGTGTGAGGACATCCTAGCACCAGAGCTGGTCCCACCTGCAGTGGAGCTAGTGGGAGCTTTGCGGAGCTTGCTAAAGTCCCCGAGCTGGTTACGCTCTCTGGGATGATCCAGCACCTGTTGAAGTCATTGGAAAGGCTCCCACTGACTTCAGTAGGCAGTGGAGCAGAACCATAGGCAGCATGATAGCAGGGCCTCCTCTTGTATGTGTGTTTAGATCCCTCCCTGCCTTTAAAGGTCCCATCATTGTGACTCAGGTCAGTAGGTAATTGTCTTTGCTGTCATGGGCCCTGCCATGTGGAACTTGCTCCCCCCCAACAACCACCACAGATCATTCTGCCCCACTTCTGCTGTTTGTGCTTTCATATTCCTGTATGGCAAGCATAGCTCCTCTGAAATCCATGGCATGACAAGGCCAGATCCTCAGCTGCTGTCCATCAGCTGTGACAAAGTTCCTCCTCTAGCTTGGTGGGTCCTGCGCTTATTGGCGGATTTTCTTGCCTCAGAGATTCACCCTGTGGGTTGGGGAACAGCCCAGAGACCTTCCCCTCTGGAAGAACCCACAGTCCAGGTCAATTGGGAGGTTTGGGGGGAACCCAGGCCCGCCCTCTACTCCGGGTTCCAGCCCAGGGCCCTGTGGACTGCAGCTGTCTATAGTGCCTCCTGTAACAGCTGCATGACAGCTACAACTCCCTGGTCTACTTCCCCATGGCCTCCTCCAAACACCTTCCTTATTCTCACCACAGGACCTTCCTCCTGGTGTCTGATAATGCTTGTGCTCCTCAGTCCTCCAGCAGCACACCCTCTCACTCTCAGCTCCTTGCGCCTCTTGCTCCCAGCTCCTCACACTCGCACCACAAACTGAAGTGAGCTCCTTTTAAAACCCAGGTGCCCTGATTAGCCTGCCTTAATTGCTTCTAGCAGCTTCTTCTTAATTGGCTCCAGGTGTCCTAATTAGCCTGCCTGCCTTAACTGGTTCTAGCAAGTTCCTGATTACTCTAGTGCAGCCCTGCTCTGGTCACTCAGGGAACAGAAAACTACTCATCCAGTGACCAGTATATTTGCTCTCTACCAGACTCCTGTACTCCACTGGTCTGGGTCTGTCATACAGCATAGCATTGTTGACTTTCATGGAGCTATGCTGATTGACTAAGGGCTGGTCCACACTAAACCCCCACTTCGAACTAAGATACGCAACTTCAGCTACGTGAATAACGTAGCTGAAGTCGAAGTATCTTAGTTTGAACTTACCGCGGGTCCACACATGGCAGGCAGGCTCCCCCGTCGACTCCGCGTACGCCTCTCGCGGAGCAGGAGTACCGGCGTCGACAGCGAGCACTTCCGGGATCGATCCCAGAAGATCGATTGCTTACCGCCTGACCCGGAGGTAAGTATAGACGTACCCTAAGGTTCTGTAAATCAGGATTACTAACTCAGCTGAAATCTATGGAGAAATCAGGAGTGAAGCCAGATGGAGTTAGGCTTGTGTAAAGTTGGTGTAAGTGAAAGAGGATCAGGGCCCCTTATTTCCAAAGCATTTTTACTATGACTGCTTTGGGTCCCATAGTTATGACTTCTCCACCTCCCATTCTCTTCTTATGCTGGTCCCCCGTCCTCTCTCCTCACATGCACTTTTTTTTCTCCTCATTTGAAGTTTGCAGTGGGATTTTTACTACAAAGTTTTTCTTGCATTGTGGCAAGGCATGCTCCACAAATTATATTATTATTAGATTTAAATTATGATGATTGCTCTCAATCAATCTTCCACCCCTACCATCCCCCTTTCCTTTATGAGAGGGCTTGTTCTGATCATCTACAACAGTCCCCGTTATATTTGATTTTATTACAAGATATAAATTTCTTTCTGCAGCCCTGGCACACAGAGTGCAGAGAGGAGAGCGGAATTGCCTAGCAACCAGGAGAACAAAAAATTAAGAGAATCAGTAAGCCTGGATGGAAAGCTAAACAGGGACTTTAAAACAAAATCTTTTGTTGTTGTTGTTCCTCCTCTGGTAATGATTTGCAATATCTCAGCTGTAGCATGGAGAGGTCATTATGTGCAATGGATGCTTCTGGGGGCAGGAAGGGCCAAGGGACTGGTCTGCATCAAAATTAAAGGATAGATGAAAACCCAGCAACCGGACACGGACTTGCATAATGCCCTCATCCTGCAAACACGCATATGAGTAATCCCATTGACTTTAATGGAACTATTCACGTATGCAGGTGTTTGCAGGCATGGGGCCAAGAGTCTGTCTCAGGGTCAGTTCTGTTGTCATTTACACTTGTATAAATCCAGAGTAATTCCACTGAAGTCAGTGGTTTTACTCCAGATTTACACCAGTATAACTGGAAAAAGAATTTGGTTCTGAGTTTTAAGGAGGTGACAGGCTGTTTGACATACAAGTGGGGGGCTCAATTCTGTAGATAGTCCAGATAAAGTCTATAGTAGGATTACTTCACAGGAGTCAGAGCTGCAGGATTGGACCCTAGGTTAGCATGATAGCGAGGTTTTTCAAAGCTAGATAGAAGAAGCAACCTATAATGTACAGAGGGTCACTTCATGATAATATCAATTTTAAAAAAGATCAGAAATTAATGCAGTTAAACTTAGTATCTATCAGTAAAAATGGCAAGATAATTTAGGGAAATATTTTCCAGATTAAGGAGAAATCCCAGTGAAATCAAAGGCCCTACTTACCGGAAGTGAAGTTACACATGTGATTAAGTGATTGAAGGATCAGGATCATAATTTGAATTTAGTGGTGGTTTTCTGTTGGGTTATTTGAGTCCTGATCCTGAAAACATTTGCATACATGCTTAACTTTCGATGGAAGTCAAGTCAATGGGATTCCTCATCATAAAGTCAGACAGATAAGAAAGGCTTTGCACCATGAAAGCTCTGATTTTTCTTTTTAAGGGGATGGGGTATAATTGAACAAGTGGATTCACTTCACAAAACCAAAAAGGGTTCCGTAACCAAACTGAAGTTGTATGGATCAAAAATTATTCTGGCACAGTAATTTCTAGGCGATGTATGATCTCGATGCAATTGACTAACAGCTGGGGAGGAAGGATGAGCCAGTATTTGGCATGTTCACCTAGGATGTGGGAGACTTGGCTTCAGTTTGCTGCTGGACCACAGACTTACTGAGGGACCTTGGATAAGTCCGTTAGGCCCAGCTCCCCATCAGTACCGTGGGGATTATAGCACTTCCCTACCTCACGGGGTGTTGTGAGGATAAATATGTAAAAATTGGAAGGTACTCAGGTGCTAAGATAATGAAGAGATTTGTAAAGTGCTTTGAGACCCTTGCAAGGAAAGTGCTATTGAAATAAACTAATCAGCTTTTTTTTTTATTTGAATTTTATCAATAAAGAAGGGGGGGGGAAGCAGGAGGGTCAGGGGAAAAGTGTGGACATCAGTCAAGTTTTTTTTTTATCGAGGTGGGGTAGATATTTTAATTTTACTAAACAAAAATACACTAAATGATCAATATCAAACAAAAAAAGAAAATCCAAAATATCGACCCCCCCAAACATCCGCTAAAATAAACACAAAAGAAGGCCCTGCTCATACTTAACTTTAGGCACTGTGAGTGGTCCCCCTTGGTTTCATGCAAACTAAGGCCCCAGCCTTGCAAATGGATCTGTCCGGGTCCATCTGGGCACCCAGGCAGCGCTTCATTGCAATCGGAAAAGTGCCCAGACAGATCCATGTCGCCGAGGGCCCCAGCCTGCAAACGCTCAGGCAGGCTTAAGCTGAAGCCTCTCAGCTGAGGTCTCGGTGGGGCTACTCGTCTCTGCAGGCTCGGGGGCAAAAGGTGGGAAGAAGGTTTTGTTCTGTCCTCCCCGCAACGCGCGGCTCTCACGCCCAGGGGGCTCCGTGGTGCCCGCCTGCAGGAGGGCGGGTTCGCCGCTGGAGGTCGCGGGTGAACCGGGCTGGCCAGGAGCGGGCCCGGCTCGGGTCTCCTGTGCAAGGCAGACCGTTCCCCGCCGCCGCGGGAGAAATGCGGAACCAGCCCTGTGCGAAGAGCTGCGGCTGCTGCCCGGGCTGGAGGCTGCTCAGAGCCCAGTGAGGAGGATGGGGAAGCGGGAGCCCTAAGCGCCCTGCTGCTGCCCAGGGGGTCCGCCTTGCCCGTCTGAGCCGGGGCCAAATGAAGCAGCCCCCGGCGGCGAGGTAGCCTCTCCAGCGCCCCCAGCCCAGCCCCATGAAGCTCATCTAGCGGAGGAGGAGGAGAGAAGCCAGAGCCGAGCCCTGCTCACTCGCACCGTCCCCATGGCGAAGGAGAAGCCCAGGAAGGCTTTGCAGGAGCTGCTCCAGAGACCGGGCAACCAGCTGTGCGCGGACTGCTCTGCACCTGGTAAGAGAGCGCGGGGGACCGCGGCGCTGGAGCGAGCTGCCCGGGGTGGAGGAGCGTCGTGGCCGGGGCAGGCAGGGGAGTTGGATCCCTCGGCGGCCGCCGCCCTGTGGGGTCAGGGCTGCACCTGCTCCCCTCCCGCCTGCCGCCCGGGCAGGGCGGGGTCCCGTCCAAGTTTGCCTCGGCCAGGTGGCCGCCCGCTCGGGGAGAGCCCGGCGGGCTGGGCGCCCTGCTGCGGCGAGCTCAGCTGCCAGCCTGCCGCGGGTGTGTGCCCCTAGCCGGGCTATTGCAAAACTGCGGGCTCTGGAGAAAGAGGAAACCGGCCACGGGGCTCTCTGGAAGGGGGCCGCGTGAGCAGGGTCCGACCCCACCCTCGGCCGGGGGTTCCCAGCCCCCATAGGCGAGGCAGGGCAGGAGGAAGGTCTCCCAGCTGCTCAGCTGCGGGAGGTGATGAAGGGGATGCCCCAGGCGACAGTTTGAGGGAGGGGGCGACTCAGGAAAGGGGTGAGCCCCCGATCCGGCAGCTGGCCGGCCAAGCCGTGCTCTAGACCCTGGTGGGGTGCCAGGAAAGAGAGGGTGCCGTGGAGTCCCAGCAGGGAGAGCCGGGGTACCCCGCCCCCCCCCCCAGCTCTCTGGGGCTGACTTATGAATGCTGATGTCATCCCCGGCTACTTCAGCCGGTTTGTGTGTGAGAGCTGCAGTGCAGATCAAGCCCTACGCTGAGATGACAATGACACTTCATTACTTTGCCAGGGTGGGCAGGCAGGCAGCGGTGAGGTTTGCAGGCGTGGGGCTGGGCGATCTAGTCCGTGTCAGGCTGGGGGCTCTGCTTCCTTGCTCCTGTCGTTGTTCCCTCCCTGCAAACTGTGTGGGGCTTTTGTTGCCAAGTAGCCAAGGTTCCCTTTCTCAGGGAATCAACAGACCTGGTGCTCCCAATGCCTGGCTGTGCCACTTCCTGCCAGCCAACCTTTGACCACCACACAGGTGTTTGCTGTAGACTTTGCCCCTTTCTTCATGATTCATAGCTATAGATGATAAAATATCAGTTGTGCTCATTGCTGGGGGTGGGGGAGGGGATGACTGGGGGAGATTCTGAGCCAGACACACACCCTTCCTTGTCCTTTGAACAGAGAAGTCACTGGGGGCTTAGCCTGGTGGTTTGAATGCCTTAGTGAGTGTGGTGATGCTCAGGTCTGTGTTTGTAGGTGTCTGTACAGATCCCCTAGGGAAAAGTCTTGCAGAGTTTAATAGAAAATAACCTTCCGGGGGAGAGTGACAGAGAATGATACCCCCTTGCAGAAATTGGTAGGATTACTTTAAAATATCAAACCTGCAGAAGGGCTATTTTAAGCTATTACACTCTATAGGTTTTAGGACATTGACAGAATGTTATTACCTTTCTGTAGCACCTTATTGATTTCCACCTTGTTAAATATAGATAGGATCTGGGATGGATCATTAACTGTGCGTTTGTGTCCCTAATCTGCATTGAAGCTAAACTGGGATCCCCTAAAGATACTTTCAATCACATTGTACCTGGCTAGTGATGCCTAAGAACCTGCTACTACACAGTGTGTGTGGCTTTGCTGGCTGGTAGAACTCCACCTAGTCACTCCCACCTCTTGTGGTATAACCTTATTAACCCACCTTTTAGGCATCTTGCTGTACACAGCTTGGCTCTGATTGCAGTAGAAATCTCCCTAAAAACCTTCCTGAAGGAGAATTTTCAGGCCGGGACTGTTCAGATCGATAGCATAACTATTAAGGGGAGAGTAATGCAAAACCCACCCAACAAAACAGGGAGCAGTTACCCAGTATCATCATGATTAAGATGAAACTATGGCTCAATAAAATAGCTTATGTTGTGGTTAGGTTATTAGGGACTCCGAAGGCAGGTTTTAAAGCTATGAAGCCACAGTCTGCTGTTGGTCACACCTGGGTGCAGAGATGTGCTCAGTGGTATTGCACCTTGTAACAGAGAAAAATTTGAGCCACTGTCTTGTGATGCAGGATGTACTATTATTGTAATTCAGCTCCTTTTCTATGTGGTCTAACATAACCTTAACAGCCCGGTTTTCTCCTGCATTGTACCCCTGCTCTAAAGCCCCATTTCCTCATTGACCATTCCGCTTTAGTTTTTTTAACCATGCACAGTAACTCTACTGTAGTCTATGCCTCTGACTGAGGTTCAGTGACTGTAGACCGACATGCCTGTGCATGTTATGGGTTAATTAGGACAATTAAAGATGAGCGAGACACACAGTGTGCATGTGTATTACATATAAAATCAGTGGACCCAATCTGGTTATTTGCATTGGAGTAAAGGAGAGTGGATTTGGGGCAGTGCTTTCCAATCTAGGCAAGGCAAGGAGCAGTGAGGTGGGAACAGTTACATGACTCTTGACTTGCATTGCCCTATGCTACATCCTGCCATGTGCAGGTTAAATAGCAGGTGGTGTAGTTCCCTGATCCTGCAGTGGCTCCCAATACAGCCAGTCATAAGAGTTTCTCCTGTTTACAGGGCTGCAGGGGCAGGCATATCAGCCCAAGTTTCCCTTCTCATCTTGTGTCTCACTTAGCTCAGGCACGAGGCCACATGTAGTCTACAGCAGTGGTTTTCAACCTGTGGTCCACGGACCCCTGGGGCTGCAGACTATGTCTATGATTTCAAAAGGGGTCTGCATCTCAATTTGATTTTTTTTTTAGGGTTTTGCAAATGGAAAAAAAGGTTGAAAACCACTAGTTGAAAACCCACGGAGTCAATGGAGAGTAACCTTCCTTTTAGTGAGAGAACTGGGGGGCGGGGGAGAGAACACACACAACAAAATAGAAATAAGGAAGGAAAAAATTAAAGCAAACAAGATGAGAATGGGAGAAGAGAGGGGAGAAAACAAACAGAAGACAGGAAGGCCGGTGCCAATTGGCAGATGGTGCAAGGGGACAGAGAGAATAGGCATCTAGCTGCCAGTCCAGTGCAATCAGGGATTTGGTGAAACTAAAGGCTGATATTCTCTAGTATGGAGTGTGTGTGTCTCTAACTAAAATACAAGGGAGAATTCATGAGCCAGTGAGTATCAGCTCCATGATGCAGCTATTTAGCTAAGGGATTCTAACAATACGGTAAATAATAGAGCTGTTTGGAAAAACAAAACAAAATAGCTACTGTTTTCAAATGATTTTCATTCCATTTGTGTAGAAAGCAGCTCACTTCTCGCTTTTTGAAATTTCCTGCAGAATCAAATCTTTTTTTAGAAATTGAGATTTTTTTTTAAAGTTACATTTTTGTCAATTTGGAAAAACTCTCCCTTATCATTGATTATTTTTGTTGCGGTAATGCCCCAGAGCCCCAGTCATGGACCAGGACCCCATGGTGCTAGGCGCTGTACAAACTCTGAACAAAGAGATGGCTCCTGCTCCAAAGAGCTTGCAATCTAACCTCTCCTAGTGGCTAAGCTGTGCAACCTAATGGCGCAGTGAAAAAAATAGTCCCCAGAATGGTAAATGAGCATACAAATGTAACCTGCAATAAGCACCTTTCCCTCCAGGTTGTATTGGCAACTTGGTCCATGTGCTCCCCCTGCCCTCCCCTGACCACTTAGGTTAACTGCCCCTCCCAAGCCTTATGGAGACCAAAACCAAAGTGAAAACCAAATACCTACGATTGGAAAACAAACTAACAGGCAAATTTTTTTCATTTGCAGTTTTTATTGAGCGTTTAAAAAAAAAAGGTTTTAGTAAAAACCTAATTGTGGGGGTTTTCTTTTGGGGTGTGTGTGTGTGTGTGTGCGCGCAAAAGTTCATTTTTGTAGAAAAAGGATTTTTGGCTATAAGTGCTTTCTGTCCAAGAATTCCACCCGGCTATAGCGAACAATGAGAGAGCACGTTATCCGAGTCTTTGAGACTGAATTACAGTGCATAAACCATTGTAATAAAACTGTTACTCGGAACGCACGGCCCTGGGTATCACACACACTGCAGGACTCTTTGTTAGATTGTGTGTCTCACCTGGTGGAAGCCAGGTTGCAGCAAGTCTGTTTCACTGGACCAAGGTGTTTGTCATCCGGGAAGGCAGAGTGCGGTGTGCCGTCTGACGGCACAGCAAATAATCTCTCCTAATGGCTGGTGTGCAATGTCTCCCAATATGTTAGAATGTTTCTTTAAGACTAAAGCGGCAGCGCTTTAGCGTTGCCAGTTTAGACTAGCCCTAATATGGCAATGCAATTGGTTTTAAACCATTCTTTGTCTCCGGCAGTATCTTTCTGCACATTGTGAGATGGATGGTTGTCTGGGGGCGTAGCAAGGCTTTGCATGTTTCTCTTCATATTCCATTCTTATCTGGTTTAGGGTTGCATTTCCACTGGTTCAAAATCTTTTTACATTGAGGCAGGGAGGAAGAAACATGGACCTGCAGGCAAAAGTGCAAATGCCACTGGAGTGATGCTACGCCTTAGAGCTCGTCAAGTGCATTTTTATGGGCTCCAACGCATTCATTGTTAATTTTCTGTCATGCGCTCTCATCTTTCCCATTTGACTGGGGTTGTTTGTACACCGCCACACACTGGAACTATTGAAATAAATGGGCAAATGTGTAACTTCCACTTAAATATATACAAATTTCATCTAATTCTAACAGGATGTGTGATAGTGGAAAGGAAGACCAACAGTGAGGCCAGAGATGATAGTGGGGCGGGACCATGTTATTAATATATGGAGATATACCTATCTTATAGAACTGGAAGGAACCCTGAAAGGTCATCGAGTTCCAGCCCCCTGCCTTCACTAGCAGGATCAAGTACTGATTTTTGCCCCGATCCCTAAGTGGCCCCCTCAAGGATTGAACTCACAACCCTGGGTTTAGCAGGCCAATGCTCAAACCACTGAGCTATCCCTGGTGCTGAGCACTCAAGTCCCACTGTAGTTGCGGGTATTTAGTATCTTGCTCTACTAGGCCACTCAGAACAGCCTAAGGGTTGAGGAGAGAGCTTACAGCAGGGACCATTACA